ACTAAAATCAGCATACCACACTACATCGAAATAAGCACGGTACAAATTGAAACAGCGAAGGTGTGATAGGAGAATATAGGAAATGTGAATAGCCCAGGACAGAAGGGGAGATACCACAACTGTTTAGCACACGTTTGGTCATAGGTCGGCTTCACCTGTTTCTTTTTGACGAGTTCTTGTGTGGTGCTAAGAATGGCAAGACTCACTGACAATGCCGGCCAAACATCTGGGAATGTACCACGTCCACGGTCCGAGTTTGGAAATGATCATGCACACAATGGACTCCGGCCTAGGTGGGTTCCTCTACATTTTCCTACCAATATTATCAAGTTGCAAAAACAGGGTCATACAACCTCTAACTAATCGACGGTATGAAGACCAAGATGGTGCGCCCTTTTGTGTGGTTGCAGTCTCCTTTTGTTGTATAGAAATTGTTAAAAGTTGTTCTCATCCAGGGTGGGCTACAGTTTTGACCTCGTGTCGGTCTTATCAACACCCTCAGCGGGAGTCGAACTGTGACAGTGCAGAATAGGAGCTTGACAAGTTAACCACTCGGCGAAATTGCCACAAGAAACAAACTCTAAGTTTTATACAATAATTACTGATCGACTCAATTGATTGTTAGGAAAGCTTACTTTTTGTGTATTATGTTTGTTAAAATAGGCTTTTACCTAAATAATATTATCAATGATAAAAAATATGATGACCGAGATGGTGTGGTCCTCGGTATGGTCGCAGTCTCGTTTCGAATTATGGATGTATAGACCAAGTCCAAGGTCTGACGCTGGAAGTAATGATAACTACTATGGCAGAGGACTTTGTGCATGCTGTATCCATCTAAGTCGTCCGAGCAGCAAGAACAATTTTGGAAACGAGGTCAACACACTTCTATACAATCATTCGTTGCGTAAACTTGTGCAACACTTTACAGAGTGATCAAGTTTAGAATTTGCACCTCATGCTAGTTTCGATATTCGTGTAAAGACCTCACTATTCCGAAAAAATGTAAGCATCACAAGTAGTATACAAATCAACAAGCACTACTTACAAGGCAGCAATATTTCAGGTTTCCATTATATCAGTACATCAATACCTTTCATTCAACTTTTCAAAACGAAAGGTAAAACCTACTGATCTAAAGTTGATCTCATCATACGTACCGATAGCTGGACGCAATTTGCGTTAAGCCAAGATGACTCAAACTGGCAGGGTTAACACAGGTTGCGATGACGATCGGATTTCTCGAAAAGATTGAAAAGCTATCCCGGATAGCAACCGGCCGATGACGTATGCCAGACGAAGACTTAGATTGCTGAGACAAACTCTACCTGTTCGGTCACCTGAACAACATACAATCGAGAGGTGAAATTGTGTTTACCTTTCTCGCCTGCTCTGCTTCCCGTAGGCCCGAGTCGGAAACTCTGACGTCCTTTCCAATTTGAGTCGCGTTGGTGTGGAGCAAGTCGCGAAGCCATGTCATTCGCAAGAGACTATTATGGTTTATGACAAAAACACTAGCATGCCTTATCTCTTAAGTACACGTACGTGCACCAGGGCAGATCCGAACAAGACATAGACTTTAGTCTGGGCAACAACACGAGCAATTATCCTATCTTTATTATCCACCCTACAAGTTGTTCATGTCCGACACCAAGCAACCTTGTCACCTGGTCACTCAGTGCTCGAGCAAAATGGAATTTCTGGACTTGATGGACGGACGTGATTGCTCGCCAGCCCAGTGTGCTGTTCCTTTTTTTACAGGTCAACGACTTGGTAGGTGTATGCGAATGACAAGGCAACCAATGTTGCCACCATCAGATTCCAATGATCAATTATCTCTTCTGTAGTTGGGCAGACAAAATGGTATGCTGAACCTTGAGTGATACAGTGAAGCCCACTTGCTTCTCTGTGGAACGTGTCCTAAACTGATCTCCGACTACGGAAACATTCAGCCTCACCAGGAATGACGTTAACGTTCTTGCCATCGTCCCCAACTAAGCTTTAAACCCCTCTTAGAGCATATTGTCATTGACTGTCTACCAACATCGAAGTGATCCTCTCCCAATATACCATCATGTGCATTGTGTTGTGTCTTGAGAACATGTCTAATTACTCAGAAAAAGACATTAGTCATCCTAAGTTTGGTCACATTGATTTGAGCAGAAGTGGTAGAGTTTTTTCCGCAAACCACATTTTTCTAGTGCTCGCCACTCTTTGCGAATATGTCTTAAAAATATTAGCGATTTTTAAAGAACAATCCAGTGACATAGAATTTCACCAAATACGGTCACTTTTCCTGTGCGGTGGAGTAGTAAGATGTGGAGTGTGTGGTGGTGAGACCCAGAACATTCCAGATAAGATAGTATTTTGAAGGATTATGGAACTGTGCACAAGATTGAGGCAAAAAGTCACTATCAATGCTTAACTCACCGTAAGGAATTACAAAAATACTTCGAAGCATACATGAAATAATAGTCTAACATGTGGGATGTATTCACCCAATATCATTTAAGGCGATACGTGGACTGGTATTTTAAGTTTCCAACAATGCTATGAGTAGAAATGACGTTACCATTGAATCTCACGTAGTTTAGCTTTCTCAAAAGGTATTCCTATCCAAGCTGAAGTGGACTGCAACACCCCCGGCAGGACTCGGAGCATGACAGTGCAGTGTGTAATCTCGACACAATACCAGGAGTGCCCTTAGGCCACAGAGCAGAGGTGAATTTGTAAGAAGGCCTGGAATTTGCCCATATTACATTCTGTGGTGGAGTTGTCTAGGCAGCAAAGCAGGGTAAACACATATCCTATATATGATCTAAAAGTAGTGTCGAGAAGCTATTTCTAAACTAAAAATAATTTATGTGGTCGATTGCTTAATCGACTATATCACCACGGTCTTCCTTGAAATTCACATCTGTCTTGTGATCAAATTGCACTTTTAGGGCTCGAGTCCCGCTTGGAGCGTTGATAAGACCTAGGCGAGGTCGTAACTGTGATCCACCCTAGCCGTGATGAGAATGCCTTTTGGAAAAGGAAAGCTATGCGCAATTCAATGGGAAGTAAGATCTGCTCATGTGGTTGTGGGAAAATTCAACTACAATGAATACATCTCATAGATGTGGTGGTCTCGAAAAATTATTTGTAACCGAAACATAATATTCTAATGATTCTCCAGTGCCCGACTCCTTGCTTTAGGCATAGCCACGATCGGTCTATCTACAATGACTGGATGTAGAAACATGTTTATCGTAGTGACTATGTTTTCACGTTTGGTTGTGGTTGTGACGAGGTCTAGATAAGGACGAAGGTACAATCCAGTTTTTATGATAAGTTTTTTTGAGAGTAAGAACTACGCCAAATGTAATGATATCGTGAGTCCTCCGAGTTGTTCATTACACCTTCACCATGAGTGAAACAAGCTGAAGGATGTTCTTATTTGAGATCTGTTTTAAACAAGGTGAAGTTAAACCAGCACTCCATGCTGTAGGACAACAATTTTCGAGGTGCATCATAGTGCTCAAAACAGTCCAGCTTCTAAGCATGTACTTCAACTCCCGACTGTCTGATTGCTTGTTTCATTGAGGAACTGGCTCAAGAGCTGCAAGAGCCAACATTGGATCTCATTTTATGGTGACGGTTCACCCTTCATGACCCACGGCTTTATATTCGGTTGCTAAATTCGAAGTAGGCATGTTGGCACATATGAACATATATTTCTGTCTCTTTAGTGTTGCTGTTTTCGCTTTTTCCTAATTTGTCCTTTCCGCCCTCTCGAGTGCACCCGTGCGCTAATCACCAGGTCGTCTTTGTTTGGCTCTTTTGTTTCTCTTTTTACTCTCTTTGTCTTATTTTGATGAAAGAAGGACAAATAATTTCGGAAATAATGGATAACGTATAAAAATGTTAACATTCCTTCCACAAATTCGCTTTCTCCTCGTTGTTAGCCTATTCTGTTGCCTGGCCCAGTTGCGCCCGAATACGGCCCTTGAAGACGAAACCACCTACCGGCAGTTCGGGGACCACTTGAAAAAGTTCTCCTAATGGCGGATTAACCGAGTTGCCCGGGGGACAGGCGCGTGTAGGCCGAAACGCGCCTGCTCTAAATTATCCTTCAGTCGTCAACGTATCGGTTCTATCCAGCTCGCGAGCCGTCGATCAGATGCTTCTGGAAGTGCCAGGCGTGACGGGATTAAATGTGGCGCATGTCAACCCTGGCGGTGTCCGAGGGAAGCCGAGACACTTGAGACATTCCCACGAAATCAGACTGTCCTAGGCTCTGAACGGTCTTTGAGGTGGCGGTCATGGTTATCTGAGATACAAGCAAATGTACAGTGGTGTCTGGGTCGGCGGAATCGGGTCTCCAGCGCGAAAAATGGCCGTCGCGAAATCACATGGACACCTCAGGCCTGCTCTCCGGGTTTGCGTTCGTCGCCTCACTCGGTCATTTGCCCATAAGGCCAAATAGGCTGTGGTCAAGCGTTTAATGCATTTTGGCTCAGAAATATACCGGCCAAGGCACACGTTGGCCAGAATGCATTAGACCACACTTGAGATGGCAACTAGGCGAAGAGGATCGCTCAACATGAACATTCTCTCGGAGCTCAGAGAGCCTGCATCCTCTCTGTAATTCTGCACCAGCTCTATTTCTCTTTCACTCTTTCTTCTCTCTTCTCTCCCCCTGTCTCTTCCAAACATAGACACGGCTCATCCCTATCCGACTGGCCTTCACATGCACATGAGAATTCAGCCTCTCACACACATGAACCAACCAACACACACACACACACACACGCAAACATACACCCGAGTTCGATAACTTTGGTCTGAGATCACACTTCATGTCGGGCTTAAACAAGAAATGGTATTTGGCTCGGACACTCACTCGAGGTCCCGGCTCGTGAAGCGGCTGGAAACTAGGGGTTCTGGCCAGATGCATGAGAACGAGGATGAAGGCTTCAGATGTTCTCAGACTGCGCCTGTACTTAATATCGAGGCGAGGCGAGTTTGACTAAATTAATATACCCCTCCATGAAACTTTGCAAGAGTGCGAGGAGAAGTGGCGGGGGGTGGTGCGCATGGGGACTAGATGGAAGATGAAATGCAGTTATTTAGGATGAGCGTTGGTGACTGAGCCCGACGAAGAGCTGTAGCATAGACAATCCGTTTATGGCTGAGATGGATCTGTCCATATCGTATACTGGTCGGGACATGCGTCGGGAAGAGGGAGACTCAGACTCGAGCCTAGGGTGCACAGACACCCATATCAACATCAAGTACATACTAACGGGTCAAAGTCAAATACCTGGGCCGACAAATCGAAATGGAGACACACAAACACAATGAAAACGCACACACACACACATATTGGCATCCTCTTTGGCCAGTGCTTTTTCTTTGTGCTATGATTCAAGATGGGACTGTTGAAGTAGTGATGCATTCAGACCAGCAAGCGTCTACTCAATTGAGCACAATGATGCTGGAAAGTTGACATACCGGCAGAAGTTCAGACGTCGAGAGTCGACAAGAAGGTTTGTATTACAAGCGATCATAGCATCAGTACTACGTAAACAAGACCACACATCTTGTGTAGGTTTTCATGCTCAGACGTTGATAGGGCATAGTTCTATGCATCTTTGCCTTACCAACATGTATCCTTTGCCAACTTTTATCCAGTTCAATTGCAACTAGTCTTTTGCCAAGCACCACAATTTTCCACAAAGCAATTTTGTGCATTAAATAGCAATTTCGATTGAAAAATTATTAATAATATCTGGAGACTTTGTACGATTTTAGCCTAGATTAAGCCGTAACTGGATGAGTTGGCAATATCAATGGATGCTGAATTATATCTGTAGTTACCCCAGATCGAATATTATGATGAAGGACCGATGGTTGAATTTGTCCATAATACCACAATTGAGCCTCAAGATTTTCTTGAGTTTTCTTTTTCATCTTCTGTAAGGCAAAAAGAAGTGAACTTTACTGGATTAGAAATGTCTACTTATAACATTGTGGGAAAATTCATTACCTTATGCGATTATGACACGTTCAAGTATATAAGCTTTAATCGACAAGTGTAGTATAATTTGCTTAAATACTGTACAATAATCTACTAATTTCCCTCCACCAACCGTTCGTGATGTAATGGATTTTCCATCTGTTCTCATTTTTAGCATGCATGTGACCCTCTGTATAGCAAAAAAATAACCAAATGAGAGTCAGACAATTTCTCATTGGCAGGTTTGTAAGAGGGCTGATTAAATCAGATTCGGGGCCTGCGAGTTTGGGACTCTGTCCGTCGAATCTTAGAATCAAACGGAAAGAGTAAAAATAAGTTGTTTTCAAAGGCATTTTTAAATTAGGCTTAAGGCGAAGTTTACTCAAGAATGCTTTCCAATAATGTTCAAAATATTTTCGTCAAAAAAATTGGGAAATCTTCCTGCTTAAGCAACTGCCTGTGTCGAAATTTTGGTCCCATTCGCCTGGAAGGC